ATTTCCCCTCATTCTCTAATCCAGATTATCGTAAAAACTATATCTGATTTATCATGTAAATAGTACAAGAAGTCTAATGAGACGTATTTATGAATTTCATAGATCATTAGATATACTCTCGGAGCGTCCTTGCGGCTGTTTATTGCAGCCTCCACTCGTAAAGTAGAATATTATCGACCAATAACACACATACGAGCAAATATTTAAGTGACTCAAATATTCTTATTAGTATGCTAATGTGCCAAGTGACCCACTGACGTCCGCTTTATTGTTTACTTAGTTTATAGCCTCTTACTATGCAAACGTGATGCTAATGATTTCACAGCAAATGGATGTCATGCTGACCGCTACCGAATCGGATTAAAGACGAATCTCAGCGACGTCGTGTTCTTAACAAGTACCGAATTTTCTCGAGTGCCACACAAAAATATTTTCCCTTCACCTTTCACTTTGAATTCAGCCTTTCACCTCACGGGGATTACACACGATTCTGTTGCGATGTTAGACTTTTTTTTCGCAGGATTCCCATCACATCCTCGATCATACGATATTTCTCAAAGATACAGCATCGAGGAAGTATCGGGTACGGACGCGAAACCGCGTTCCATTCTTTATATAGAAAATAAGGGTCAGCCTCATGAAAAATGTATGCGAACGAAATTCTTCAACTATGTAGGCATTAAAAAAGACCCGATTATATAAGTTACAAAATTCATGAATTTCTTTAAGGTTAAGACGAGATCGAAGGCTAGACGAAAGCTTTCCTTTCTTCGTTGCTCAAGCAATTCGACAATTTTTACTGTGAATTTCACTTGGAAAAGGAAAAAAGGACCGTGAAAGTTTACAATGTGATTCTTACGCCACGGATACTTGCTAATTGTCTAAATAAACGACTAATCGAGTCACCGGTTAAAATTCTTAATTACACCGGCGGCGCTTACATCTTGTATGTGGGAAGAAAGTTTGTGCGAGCGATGCACTACAAAACTTGAAAGCCAAACAGCGAAACCATGGATACAATGTTCGAAGAGCATATAATACGCGGATGACAAACGTCGCCGACGTTCTTCTCTCGTTCCTAGCTTGTTACCACCTACTGGTCATCTACAATCCACATTGCTCAATAGATTGATTAGAATTTAAGATAAATTTCATGGATTAACAAATTTTCAACAAAGTATGGACGATCTAGATAACATTGTCGGAAAAAAGCGCAAAAGCAATGTAATATTTTTTACGAAAATTAAGTATCAAAATTCATGTAGCAGCCGACGTGTTGAAGATCAGTGGCGATTGATTTGGACGATCATGATCAAAGTGATCCATTGGAGATAGAAGAAGAACGAGACGGACTAAACAGCATCGAAAAGGGAGAGGACCAATCTTGGGAGAAGCTGTAACGGACAAGCGAAAGTCAAGCCCCAGGCTTACGGATTCCCCTTCTTTCCCGCGACCCTGCAACATTAATATCCGAGAAACTCGGATGCAGCACACGACGAGACGTGACTCGAGGGCTCAAGAATATCACGAGTCATCGGGATCGACGAGTCGAGATGAATCGCGGCAGGCATCAAGGAAATCGAAATTTTTCACAAGCGCCTCTTCAACTAATCTGCAGTTAATTCTCCATTTATTTTACGCGCATGTATTTGAATTGCTTCAAGGGATACGTGGTATTTTTACGCACAACAAACTTGATTTATTTGTTATTCATTTTCCTCTTGTTTAGGCGTGTTCAACTTCCGATCCATTCCTAAATTTTTGTATACATCAACAGATAGTTTATTTTGGAATATTCAAGATTTCAGATACTAGGATCCTCTTGCACTGATACACGTACAGTAACACGTAACAAGTAGCCAGCCATAAATTACTGGTACCAATAAATTGTCTTGTATAATAGGAATAAGTTAGATAATAAATCAAGGTATATCAAATATAAATCAAATAAAATCTTACAATCAGAGTTTACAAATTGCAAGTCATCTCGTTATTCTGCTCAACGTAGAGTCGTGAAATTATAGAGAAGAAGAAGATTTCTTCCTCTTTCTAAGTAGTTTATATTAGAATACAGTTTTTTAGCCATTAAGTAACATCAGAGTTACAAAACCAACGACATCCTAGTTATTATTAGCCTGCGAATTTCTATGCAAGTTCATATTTTTGAGTATGTAATTAAAAAGAACCTCGAACCTATATTCCATGTAATTTTGTACTTTGAAAATTCCTATAAATACATAAAAATCCGCCCTCTACCTATCATATTTATTCCTCCTAAATAATCTGCGTTACTTGTTATTCACTGATTCTTCATTTCAAGTGTCTTCTCTAAATTGAACTTGATCTTGTAAGCTCATGCTAGTAGCGTGTCGTTCAACATGTTAGGAAAGGTGTAGGATCGAATCGCAGCTGGAACTTATTGGACGAACTAATACTGCGACACTGCCTTCGATATTTCACCACTTAATCCGCAGAGTAGGTCAACGTCTTTTTACTTTTTTCTCTTTCTTCTGGTTTTTGGTCGTCGTAAAAGAGAACGTGTCCCCTTTTTGAAAAATATTTTAACAATTTCACTCTTCGATATCGGCATTGATGATTCATACAAAACGTATAATTACGAGAAGTTGAATATAATTTAAAGAATCTTGCAAGTTGTCGAAAGAATACCGCGTATGTACCCGTACAATCCATTTAATTTTATAATGAAAAGCAGGATTCGCGCGCTCCACCTCCGCAGCTTTGGCTTTCTCTTGCTCGATTCGTTTAAATGCACCGGGATAAATTACCCCGCGATGCACGGTATTATCGTGGACCATACATTATACCAGTCGTTGTCGTTAATGATTCCGAAGATTTAATGTTCATCGAAGCTTCCGTTCTTCTAAACATACATCGGCGCGTTTAACAAAAGTGGAATTACGAGAATATATCCCCGGTACATTCTAGAATGATTAGAAAAAATTTCAGGTCAAATGCGATGCGAATAAAAATCACTTTCACTCGAGGCGAATTACCATAAGGATGAACCCCAGCATAAAATTACTTATGCGTTTAGAATGTGACTTTTTTTTCCAAAGAAACAGCATTGCAACGAGCCTTGAGCACGTACACTTCCACTCAGAAGTCTTAAGACCTCTTGTTTTCGGTATAATTTCAATATTTCATGTAAATTATAAATTTACAATTACATACGTTTCTCAATAATGTTATTAATACATCAGCGCCTAGTAGATTTAGCTACTTTTATCATCGTACAAAATACATTTTATATTAAACGACATTCTTTCCCGACTACTTAGCTTTTTCAGCTTTCAGACACGGATGTAATAACTATTCTAAGACTTCTCGGCATCAGTGTACGTAGATATTTCGTAACACTGCAACTTTACCACGACTCTCCCCCTGTTATCGAGCAAAAATCAACAGAAACGATATATCTGCCGGTGCACTAAACGTCTAATTTCCTGTTTCCTTTATCGATAACCAACGAACGGTTTCCGAAGCGAGCATCGAAATCCATCTTACTTCCCGCTTTTCCAACGAGCGACACGAACTTGCCTCGACGATCAGCGAGAAAAAGCTTCGCAGCAACGACTGACCGCGCACACGCGCTCGTGGGACGCGCAAATCTGGCCGGAAATAAGGCGAAACCGGTGAACAGAGGCAAAGAAAGAGGCGAAGGATGACAGAAACATTGGATCGGAATCGTGTCGAAAAGTGGGTCAAGAGTTCACGAGCCGGATAATTAAATTCCTCAACGAAGAAAGCGTTTTCCCTCTCATTTCGTGGTACCATCGCCAACGTGCTGACCAACCAGCTGAACAACCGTTCGATATCGTCTAATATTTCTCCGTGAACGTATGCGTCTGTGTTTGCAAATAGATGGATGTAAATGTATACAAACGTATTGGTCGAAGACGAATAAAGGCGCGTACTCACCGCGAACGATATTAGCAAATAGTAGTCGCAAGACGATTGCACAAATTCTCTTACTGTTTGACTGCGGATTTGTACGCATTCGCAGGAAACTTAGAGATGTAAAATTACGTAGAGCGTGCCAGAAATATAAAATATATAAAATACTTTGATTACTTGCTATAGTATAGTAACAGGCGGTGAGCTGATCACGAGATCTTGATGAATACCGGTAAGGACGCACCTTAAGATGAACACGCTGTTAGGAGAGCCGACGACGATTGCTCGAGACGCAAGGAAATTCTACAAGGATGATACGACAGTTGATCGCGCACTTTTCTTCCTGATACTCTCCCTCTGGAGATCAGGGATCAACGATCTAACGGGTGGCTGTAGGATACGCTCGATAACTGCGACATATTCGTACGACATGTTCGTACGACATGTTTCGCTCAGGCTAAGACTACGTAACCAGGTTACATAAAATCAACACAAAGAACTGTGCAAACTTCTGGATCGAATCTTCTCGTTAGTGAACGATGTTCCATAAGCTTGTCACATGATGAGATTAGTCATTAGCAAGATGTGAAAAACATCTAGAAATCGTTAATGGTAATTGGATTATTTGAAGAATATCGCTTTCAGAGAATTGTCAGGTTGAAAAGTAGAAAGATGGATGTATTTAACGGATTAAATATGAAAATAAAATATCGTCTCGCTTCCTGCGATCTAAAAACAAAACGGGTTCGACGAGAACACGGAAATCGGTTATGAGATTTCCGTTCGCGGCATAAATCGCTTGGTCGTATTATTGCATTCGATACTAGAGTGAAATTTCCTTGGGTAAAAACGGATTTCTCAGTAAGGTGAAGAATAGAGACGTTGTAAGGTACTAGAATAAATATATTAAAGTATCATGAAAAAAAAAAAGAAACGAAGAATCCGTTGGTTTACTTGCGATGTTACTTAGATAGATGGGTCTACGTGCCTCCTGCAAACACGCAGGTGGAATATAAATGACGGAAATTTTAGCAAGATTTGGAAGCGCATTTATTAACCAACGTACGAATCAATCGATATCGAGTTAGAACTTGGACGATTACGCCAGAACGTTGGCGACATCGCACTTCTTCGCAATCTTTTCGCAATGAATTTGTAGACGCTTTATACATTTAAAAAATATTCCAATTCTGGTTTGAATAAATCGATATTCCATATCTGCGCTTATATTTAAACAATTATTCCAATCATATAGAATTTACACTTCACCTATTTGAGAAATATTCTGATTCCAATATAAATAAATAAATATCCTATATCTATGTTCGTATCTTGATAAATATTCAAATAATCTGTAATTTTCGGATATTACATCCATTCGAAAAGATATTCTTATTCCAATTTAAAAAATACATTACAGTCTTTTAGATCTCTTACAGAAGAAAAACCAAAAAATGGCGAAGTGGAGCGTAAAATTATCGAACACCTGTTCGTTAAATTTCTTCGAAGCGTTATTGCGCCATGTAATTGTAAAAGAAACCCGGACCAAGATCGAGCATCGCCATACGATCGGCTCGAAACCTACATTTGTGAAATCATCCAAAGGCTCGATGTCTCAAGTGTGTACCAAGAGTCTAGGTCTAGGACGCAACTTGAGGCCCGTTGGCCGTGTGGATGCCAGAGAGAGAAAAAGAGAGAAAGAAAGACAGAGTGAGAGAGAGAGAGAGAGAGAGACATTTTGCAACACGAGGATCGTCCAAAATCGGTTATTTCTGAGGGCAGAGGGTCGAGGGATTGTGGATGGACGGGCAACGAGGACGTGGTAGGTGTAACGTCCACCGGAGAAAGAGAGAAACAAACACAATCGAAAGGACAGAGGAGAGGCATGGAGGGAGAGGGGAGGAGAGAATCGTCTCACAGCTGAATTACTCTCACTTGAGAGGCCCCCGTCTCTTCTTCTTTGTGGGGGCTTCAAGTATCCCCCTGCTTCTCGTGGGGTATAAAGGACCCTGGTCTACCTTGCTCAGAGTCACAGAACAGAGCGGCATCGCAGAAGCCGACATGAATCCTCTGATCGCGGTAAGCACGCTGAAATCTTTTAAACATTATTCTTAAATTGAATCAAACGAAAGAGAGAAAGAAGGAAAGAGAGAGAGAGAGAGAGCGAATGCGAGTGTGCATGGACAAAGTGTAGACATCTTTTTAAAAAAGTGAGATCCACGGGATATTTGAAAAGTGATTCGTGTCCCCGATTCTTGTTAAAACTTTGTGTCCCTGTATCGATTTTCGAACCGGAAACTCCGTTATGTTCCGCTGGGATTACCTTCTATCTATTCGGTTACTTCGATGCATGTATTTATCGAGTTTCCCTGTTAACGATATCTTGCACTCCCGCTTTCCCTCTCGGTCGTGTGATTTCTATTTAACTTCAACTACGCTTCAACGATCGTGGCGATTTCGCGTCTTCTTTTTCCCTATGGTTGATTGAACTTCGTACATCCGAATCTCCTCTTTCAAACAGCACTTTCTCGAAGGTATCGCGCTTCTAACTGCTTTCTATATCTTATAATGATAATAATTTCAGAATGATAATCTTGAATACAACAGACACTAACGTGGTTGATGTCTTTCGTTTTTCCAGTGTATGATAGTCGGTCTAGCAGGGTTCGCCCTGGCTGAACCACCGATCTCGTCCGGCTACAGCTACAGCAGGCCATCCGGAGGGGGTGGTTACTCCATAGGTGGTGGCGGTGGTGGATACACCGCTGTATCAACCGGCTACCAAACCAGCGAGGGAGCATCCGTCGATGGCGCGTTGCTCGAACAAATCCGTCAGATTTTGCTGAGGGAAGAACAGAGCAGTGGATTCATAGGTGGTGGTGGTGGTTACGCCCCTAGCTCGAGCTATGGCGCTCCATCCAGTCAATACGGTGTACCAAGCTCATCCTACGGTGTACCAAGTTACCAGACACGCGTTGTAGGCATCGATCTCGAAGGAATCAGGCAGGCCATCCAAGTGGCACAGTTCAACCAAGTGACCCATGGGTCTGGTGGCTATCCAAGCGGACCAAGCGGAAGCTACGGAGTACCAAGCAGGCCAAGCGGTAGCTACGGTGCACCGTACTAAAACGGTCATACATCAGATTAAACTACAGATTGGATGATGGGAGAGCAAGAGAGGGAGAGAAAGAGTGAGAGCGAGTGAAGACACCAGTCGACCACCGCGACTATCTTCCGAGCTGAAACTCCTAACGAACGAGAGAAACGAAGGTTAAGGTTGAATCGAGAAAAACCAAAAATAGATTAATCGATAGTAAAACACAGGACAATCCAGGTTTCTATAACCGGACAGAGGAATTTCTTTCAAGCGAAACCTATCCTCTTCTAAAGTCCGCTCGGAAGGTCGTCGTAAAATGGACGGATCGTTGAAAAGAATATTATAATAGAAAATAGAAAGATGGTGCTATTTTCAAAGCACGAGGGTCGTCGTCGTTCGGCGAATCAGGATTCTCAGGGGTAAAGGACGAGGATGAAATCAAAGGTGTACGTATAAGCTAACATCGAGCAGGGATTCCAGAGGCTCCTGTTTCGTTGAAATCAAATCGTCGTCGTTTCAACGGGCCACGATCCTCCGAGGAATCGCGGGCGTACGTACTAAAAGATAACAGAAACTCCTGGCTACTGGCTCGTTGGAGAATAAAAGGTCGTCGCTTCAACGGGTCAGGGTTCGAGGAGTGAACTTGAACGTTCGAACGAACCGGCCACATAGATCTAACGATCTGAGCGTCGACGAGGTGTCAATCTTCTTATCGTACCAAAATCGTCGTCGTCGCGGTCGGATCCACGAGGGATCCAAAATCGTAACCAGTGATAGAAACATACGAGTCGAAAACACGAAAAGAAACAAATCGTTATCGAGAACGATCTCATAGGAGATTCAACGTAAGTTACATTCGTTATGACTTCGAGATGGCATAGCCGTGGAGCCGGAGCCGAAGTCGAAGCCGTGATCGGCGCGAGAACGCGCCTTGTAAATACAATTTACACACGCTTTCCACAGCGTTCGCTGCGTCATCCGACAGTACGAGGAGGAACTGAACGCGTACATCATCGAACCTGGTCTAACAGTTACTTCAAGGAAGATCGAACAACTTATCTAAAAAGAAAAAAGAAAAAAGTAATGAAAAACGAGGAATAAAAGATAAAAATGAGTTCGAGGAACGGAGCGAACGCTGACACGAAATACATACGTACATACAAGAAACACAACACAAATACATTATATTTTTTATATGTCTTAAACGCTATTCCTTAACTACGCATCTTTTTTTATACTTGTATAAAGGCTTTTTTGTAGAAAAAAATAAAAAAAAACGTCGCCACCGTTGAAACAGCCGCCTGTGTTCTATTTCGCCTGTCGTCTTTTCACCAACGACGACTCTTTGGTCGCTTTTCCATCCTTTGCTGTTGCTCTTCCTTGTCCTTAATTTCTCTTTTCCTTATCGATTTGGTCTCTTCCTCAATTACAACCACCAAGTTCTTACTCTAGGTCCCATGCCATTCGTGACCTCTGGGCGTTCGCTCGCAGCTACGTGAATATTCCTCCTCCTTTAAAGACGACCAATTTTTTTTCTTCTCGTTCAACAGACGCCTTTCTCCTTTCACTGTACCGATCAGAACCGACTGCGATGGTTCGTTCGCAGACCGCCTCTGGGCTCACGGGCTTCTCCAGCTTGGACATGACGTAAATTCTCACAAGCTGCGTTTAACAGATGCTCGTAAAGCGGATCGAAGAAGCCTGGACACCGGTCAGGGATTCGAAAGTAGCTTCACTTCGCTATTCTACTCGCTTCAACGTGAGCGAGACTCTACTACGTGCGCATGTTGTGTACTCTTGATTTTGAATTATTACCGAATAATGTCGTACTTTCGAGAAGCAAATAATAATCGATCAGAAGATTTCTAACGAACGTCATTAGAATTTTACAGACGAAATAGTATCTTGTGTTGACAGAAATTTTGTCTCGAGGTTTCAATTTTATCTCGGATAATGTATTTTTGAGAAGCAAATAATATCCGATCAGAAGATTTCTACTATTAACGTCATTTGAATTTTATAAATCAATTCGACGAGATAGTATTCCGTGTTATCAGAAATTTATAGGAAATTTTTCAACTGTGATTCGACGTACGTAAGTCTGTAACCAATGGAAACGTTTAGACGCTAAGCAATACGCCGCGATACGCCTCGTGAAATCGCTTACGCGTGTTTAGATTTCGTTGTTTGTGCAATCGGTACACGTAACAGATTTATTGAAGTCAAGCGCTAGAATTTCCTCCATTAGAAGAGCTGATGTGCCTGCCTTATGAAATCCATAATGTTCAATGGGAATGTCTGTCTTTTATGATGATCTTATTGCACTGTTTGAAAGCGATGTGATTAAATCGATAATATAGAAATTCTCACGAAATAGGAAATTCTTGTGGCTTTCGAAACAATTTCGATTTAGGATCACCAGGAGTTCCGCGGCTCGGGTAATTAGAAATTGTGTAACGTGTGCTAGAATTAAGTAATCAGCAAGCGTCTCGGACACAATGCGAGCCTGGTGCAATTAAACACGCAGTGATGAAGAATAAGTCGCGAACGCTATACTACAGCTAAATTAAATCATCAAGCTGGATATTTCTCCGTATTCCTGGTAACGTCGTTGTGTTTTATCGGGCCGATTTTGCGCAAGAGAGCGTGTAACACATTACAGAAGAAAAATAAATATTTGATGTCGGCGAGATATCGTGGACAATAAAAAAAATACTATCGAGAGAGCGGAAGGCGTTAATAGTAAAAACGCGGAGGAGATATTGCGTGAAAAGGCTTGGAGCCTTTCATAGGATGTTCTTCGTTGCTCAAACACTACCAAACAACTTCTTTATACACTGTGAAACTATCATCTTCTATATTCATCTGATTGTTCAAAAGAAAAATATGAAATAGCTAAACAAATGACGAAATTTATCGAGTACTATTTTTCATGTATATACAAATATCGTTCTAGTCCTTGGAATTAACAAAGGAATAGTAGCGATTGAGAAAGTGTTATTTCTATGAACAACGAGAAAATCGGAATGTCAATTCTGATTCGGCCATTTTAAAAGGACTTACGTATGTACGACGTCCAGCAGGGAAAGTGCCGCGACTCTTCGCCAGGGATGGCGAGGTCGAGAAAGGGGAAAGGAGAGAAGAGGAACTGTGAGACTCTCTGTGGAATTTTGTAAGAGCCGTACATAATCCATAAACGTGCCTGCCAGGCAGAAGCCGTGCGAAAGGAGGAAAAACGCTCACGCAATGAGGTCCATCCGTGCTCCAGTTCTGGATGAAATTGCAAAGTGGAATTCCATGTCCCAAAAAGGATTCTTTTAAAAAGCCAATCGCACGGAGATTTTCATCCAATAAACCAATATCTAATCTCCTTTACATGTACTTTTCTAAAAGAAATGAATACTTTAACGCGAACATAAAAAGCTCTTTGTCTTCGCATTGAAATGATAAAAATATTCCAAGTAATTTAATATTGAAAATGTATATGTCAATTCTAAATAATGTAAGATTAGGATTTAATACGATAATAATTCTCGATAATTTTAATACAACAATTTTAAACAACGTAGAATTCGAATTCCTTTTTCAACTTTTTCAGTCTCGAAGCTCATAACGAACTTTTTTCCACGAGAAACACGTAATCGGACGATCTATCAGATCCGGAGAAGTCGCAGCGTGTGAAAGGAGAGAAAAACGCGAGCACGATGACGCACAATGCGATCTGCTCGGCCAATTATGGGAAGAAGATTTGTCGAGCAGCCGGCTCGTAAAATGTGCGCGTTTACAATGGCCCTGTCTGCTTTACTTTCGCTAATCCTGTTTCTGCGCCACAAGCTTTTGAGCCTAATGCCGATTGCCCAACATATGGCTGATGTCTTCATTAACGCGACAACGGATGCGTTTTTTAACGAGCTTCTTAAAGCAAGATACGTCGCCTTCTATAATTATGGGACCTGGTAACAATACTACTACCGACAATTGTATCGACACTTTCCGTTGCTTTCATCCGTTGCATGTAACTCGGTTTTTCTTGTGATATTTTTTAAAATACTGCCATTTTTCTTAGACAGAGACATTAATTAATTTTAATGCGTTAATTAAATTTTTACACTGATGAAAAGGCTGAAAAAATAACCGTGTATTACAAACGATAAAAATCATAAAATATAACAGAATTACTTTCCAATCATCCTTTTGAAAGAATGACCATAACCAATTGGCATCGTGGATCGTTACCCTCACTTTTCCTAATGGAAGGTGCGAATAGCGAATCCGCGTTGTTAATTAAAAAGGGCGCACCTACACCGAGCTTTCCTCCGTAATGAGACGAGAACACCTGAGGAAAAATAGACAAAACCATCGAACAGTGAACATCTCTCCGATCTGTGTAAACCTAAGCTGTGAAATAGAGACAATAGTTGTGTTACGACTCAGCTATTTTTATTTCATCAACCAACCCCTAAGTTTACGTGACACTGTCGCAGAGGAAAACTATTGCTGAGTGTTTCCTGCCCTTCTGAGTGAGATCTTCCCATTTTTGCCTAATGGAGCAATTAGCATAAGGAATGTATCGACTTGTATATATTTTGTAACAATTAAAGGCCCTAACGGTAAAATATAAATGTTTAGTTTTATAACAATTCCTTAGGATTATTGCGATCCAGTTAATTATATTTGCATAGCTAATGGTCGCCTCGACCTCGAGGGATGGATTCTGGGTCATCGGACGTAACAATAGATAAATATAGAAAATATCTAAAATACAGTAATCATAATATAGTATTTGATAAGCGAAGCAAATCTCTACTTTTTTATTCAAGTCTATTTATTGAATTGCGTTGATAAACATGTGGATGAGTTTGCATAAACAACCGTGGTCGATAGATAACAAACTTGCACAACATTCTCTCACAGATTTTGAAAAGAAAAACAAAGAAGAACGGAGGAATTCATTCGCCAGAATGTCAAGAAAGTTCCACGAATATCGCTTTCCTCTTCCTCTTTTCTTCAAATTATATCTTTAGCGGTTCTAATGATTGCTGGTATCTTGTGAACACACATATACATTCCGCGTTGTTCAGCATGCACGTGCGCGTACAAAGTCGGAAAGGTTACGCAACAGGTTTGTATTCTGCGAAAAATGGAATAGGCACTGCCGTGGATCGGCGCAGCTAATCGAGCAGCTTCAGCCGTTCGCAAGAAAAAATTAAAAAAGAAGGAAAGAGAGATTCTCTGATGAGGGTCGGTTATGTAACTTGGACAAGTATTACACGAAAGAGTCCAGGGAATGCAGGTTGCACTTGCAACTGTGGAACTTGCACGAGAGAAAAAAGCGGTGCAATTTTGATGGACCCATACGTGCTCAGAAATTGTGTAAATCGCAGGGATTCGATTGCACAAACGTGTTTATCACTTCTATGACTATTACGGTGAAGGAGATCAGCCAGAAGTGATCCAGTCGTTATATTGCCTCACGATTTCCGTTCGAATCGACCACGAAGGCGTCCAAGATTAATGGACACTATAAATTAAATCTAACGGAGGAAATTGAAATAGTTAAGTCATTCTATTTATCGTTTTGAATATATGATTAAGTGGACGTAAACAAATGTGCGTTTCAGTGGCGATTTTCCGTGTTTAGTGAGTCTATTTTAGACGTAAGATATGTATCTATATTTCAAGGTATAACTCGAGGAAAATAAATTGATCCTTTAAAGATAGAAATAAGATTTGTAGAACGTTGCTGAAATGTGACAAAAATTGAGTTATTGATAGCTAATGACAGAATGCAAAGTCGACATGACACTTGTTTATTGACTGCACGGAGATGCGTATGTATATATGTTACTTCCAGCCCGAGAAAACGAAGAAGGGGAGAAAGTTACGAGAAAATCATTGGCTTCCCGCGTGCGTCATCACGTCGTCTATGAAAATACGAAGACAAACAGGCATAAGCATCCTGTCCTACTACTTACATCTCACACCAAGTCGAACATAATTTACAGTACGTTCGTCTGTTGATTTATGATTTAAATTACCCATGAGAGAGTACATTCGAAGACACTTAACGGAAAGAGATGTCCTGTAGCGGAAGTTCGCCATAGTTGCATCTCTTCACCATGAAATTTCCCCGTACTTTCAGAAATAAAATGTAAATGACTAATTAAGAAAATGAAACAAGTTCCGAACACATGTCTTGAGTAAATAGAATTTCGAAATAAAATAAAAGTAAAAAAATATTCAATTCTTTGACGATTCTCCTAACGAAGTATGAGATTTTTAATTGTTGGCGTCGATAAAAAGAAATGGAACTAAATTGCAACTTACAGTTACATGTTGAAGGCGCATGACAAACTTCCTTTTATAGAGTTGATGTTGTAATATGAAATTCGACGGTTGTTTCAAGTTTATTTGTAGCCATTGTCAAAATGAAGTAAGTAGATGCTGTTTAGTGTAGGAAAAAGCAGATGTTTAGTGCAGATGGAACAGGAACTGCTGGGTAACGTGGGAAGAAATATTCTAAAAAGTTCGAAAAATTGAATGATATTTTAAATAAATATTTAAGTATATATGGAAATATATGTATTTTGATATGATAAAAGGTTTGTTGTGTATTACCGCATTATTGTACGAGGAATTTTTTTGTCTTCACTACGGTGATTGGAAAATATGTAAAATATATCCAACATAATTAAACACTTGAAGTTTACAAAATAATATAAAAATAAATAAGAAGTAATGTAGTAATGTAGATAGAAACAACATGTATAAATACTGCTATCTTTTAAAATACTTGCAGTACAAAAATACGCTGAAACATGATATAATGAAAAATACTTTACTCTTCGATACAAAGGTAAAAATAAAAGAATGTAATTTTGCGTTTATGTACATCACTTTTCACAGCTCATTGTCCTTTTATTTACACCATCAATTGTTTCTTTCACCCAAGCACCAGTTTCACAATTATTGTTACGATATTTAGGAATATCAATGGAACTGCAACAAATAACATATTTGTGTTAAATTTAAATTAATTATCAAACGAATTAAAATATTTTGTTTGTAATTACTTCGTGCCACCGTTCGTATGGACCTAATAAGGTTTAAAATTTGTGACTTTGCTGTAGGAGGTTCTCCGAAGCCTTGAACATTTTGCCACGACGCCCAACCAACTGTAACAATGTTTAAACAAAAATTAAGTAATATATTCCAATATACAAGTAAAAACATATACATATGATTTATATATTTATCATACAACGCGATATATGTAAATACAATAGATAACATAACCTACAAATTCTTCATTTCTATGCAGGGAAAAAGTTCAGTATAAAAGAATAATACAAACAAAAATATGACGATATTGTGTACCTTTTGCAAGAAATCTTTCTTCGTTCAAAACGCAGATCGCATTCAAACACAACATAGTCGCTTCAAAAAGTGTCCAAAGTGTAAACGCCATATTATATCGATATGATGAATGATAACATCGAGAATATCACGCAGCGCCACGACTGTAGGGAAAGGTAAAACAGCTTCATACGCATCAACCAATCAATTTGTATCGATTAGGAACCGTCCTGCCATCTTCTATGTTACGCTGGAAACTAGCAATTAAAACGATGGCGTTATGCGGGAAATTTGAATTAAAATTTATTTCTACTATGTCAAAATACATTTAGAGTAATCTCGAGATTTAAACATCGCTCAAGATTCCAAAAATAAGATAATCTTGGATTTCATCGATAACGTTTTACAAATGCTTGCAGAAATAGTACGATATGTAAACTAAGAGCCTTAAAACGATACTCGAAAGAATTGGTAGACTTTACAAGTAACTTAACAACGCGATAATACAACGGATGGTTAGGAGCATTATTCTATTTATAATAATTGAACGACAAAGCGCACCTTCTTGGCACTAACGCTTTTGGAACAGGAGTACGAGTGTTTCTAGACGATTCGACGCTCTCTTCTCAATTGAGTTACGTTAACAATTCATGTGTGCCGATTTAGTTATAGAACTTAGAGTTCATTTCATGCTACCCTCGATCGTTCATGACCTCTATCATCATTTTATCATGCGACGTTCGAGGCACACGTTTATCACGTGTAAGGAAATTCGTGGATTTTAATATTCTGATATCGTTTTGCGTATGCAAAGAAAAGTCGGAATCTTCCATATCGTGATGAAAGTCACGAACGTATTTGACGTGTGCAAAAATTTTTCTTGTTTGTAGACGATAAGTATTCAGCAAAAGCTATGCTAACTCGCAGCCTCGAACAAGTGTTGTATTACTACAAAAAATTGCAACACAGACTAAACTCGCGTCGGCGGAAAGTACGCGTGAATCACGTGTTCCAAATGTCACATTTATGCAACTGTAGAAAATATTGCATTATGCTAGGATTAAAAAAAGTTTCAGACAAAACTATCATTAATTTCAGGAAAAGTTTCCAACGTATACAATGTACGTCTTATTTGGCAACAGGACAATATAGAAAAATTGTTCCAAAGCCAATGTTTCCTCGACTAATTTAGATCTTCCACGAATTCGTTCAAGTCATTCATCATCCCCTAACAGATAATATTTTTCATATACAACGATAACGATTGCCTTAATTTTAGCTTTCTATATAAATCACAAGGTACTCTGATTCATTTCCTCAATAATTACGCAAATCGTATGATTACAGATCTTCTGTCACATAAAAATGTATATTTTTCAAAAAACTAGACGCAGCAATAAACTACATTATAATCAAACTTATAGAATCAATTCCAAGAAATCTTATGATTCAAATCCACATCAGTGTGCGAACTATTTCCATAATTTATGCCGTATTAGATTGTACCTACTGCAATTTCACAGGGTAATAACGCGTTACCATTCACCGACTGAATTAAATGACGCTGAATGTGAAGTACACGAGTCTGACCGCTCGTGTTCGCTAAATATCATCGGAGAAATAGAAGAAACAAACGTGGACTTTGGTCGGTTAACAGACGAAGAAAAATAGGAAGGTCGATTCGTGAACGTTAGATACCAATCAAAGAAAATATTATTTTAATCGTCGCATAATTGCAAAAGAAATGATATTCAAAGCTTGCAACTTTTCATCCAAGTAGATTTTAAATAATTATCATTTGTTATTGCAATCTTGTTTTCAGTCCGAATCGCGTATTATCTAATCTATTGCCTGCAATAAATAATACTTGGGTGACGTCGAAACTGTTACCCAGGAAGCAAGAGTAAAATGCTTAAGCCATGCAATTAGGAATTACGTGACACGTTACGGTAACAATTTATGAGGCATGAGGTCCAATGATGGAACGAGACGAAAGAATGATTCTGGTATCAGTTCGTGTGAACTGAATGCGCGTACAATTGAACTCTTAAGAACGAAATTCTATGTTGTCATCGTTTCAAGAATTAATACGTTAATGGTCCAAATTAGACTCGTTTCTATAATGCAATGTCTAAGTAACGTCTATAATAATGTCTAAGTAACGTCTATAATAATGTCTAAGTAAAGCGATTATAGTTAATCGACCAAAATAAACCTACCTAAAAAGCACTATAACGGCGATTCAAATTTGGTGGAACGTAGCTCGCGTCTGTCGAAATTATAGTTGAGACATTGTACGATCGTTATATAATAAAAATTCTACCAAATTCCTCCATGCCCGCTGTTGATATTTTCACGCAGATTTGTAAATTATTATGTAAAAAGTCGCATTGTCTAAGATTGCAGTGGCCCAGTAAATATCAACGTTTTGTCCTCAAACGTAAATACATTCGACGTGTTCCCAACACAATTGCTGTATACTAGTAGTGGGGTGAGCGTATCGTTGATTGGCCAGTTTCAACAGAGGGCGCCTACCAGGTCCGGGTCGATGTTGCTAAAAGCTGCAGCAAATGAAGGAACATCAGTCGCTAGTACCTCCTCGATCTGGCCACAGGCAACTGTTTTCACTTCACAACAACACATTTCTATTTCGTTTCCACTTTGACTTTTAAACACTTTCGTGCATCCACAGTTACAGAACGTTAGGCGGATTTGCACGCAACATACAGTGAACAAAACATCAACAAGCGCAGAGATTAGAAACAGACAATAGAGAGTCGACAGTTATATTCGAAGGTCTTTGGTGGATAAAATTAATCTGGCAAACCGGTTGTACGAGAACTGATTCTGCAGAGGCGACTCTACAGATTGTCCGAGTGAAACCACGTTGTCGTGGGCGGTAAAGGGAGAGAAAAGGAGCCAAAAAGGGTAAGGAATACCTTACATATAAATATACATAACTAAAGCAGAGTTGAAGTGGCGGCGAGAAGGGAACACCGGTGTGCTGGAAAACGGTGAGGCAGCACCGTGACTATGTAAACTACTAGCATATACTTGTGGCAGCGCGTGCGCAGAGTCGGACAACGTTTGTACCGACAATATTTATAAAGGTACATCGTAACGTGATAGATAGATCGTCGACGATCAAACAATCAAGTAAATCGAGGGTAAAAGAAGATTTAACCAAAGAAGAGGACAAAATCGGAGAACTGGGCTTTTCTTCGAGCATAGGCAAAGAAGCACGCAAACTGGCTCCAGAGGTGAGGATCAAGCAAATTGGAATGAGGGAGGACTTGTTGTCCATAATACGGCACACAAGCAGCGATCATTTTTCGGAAGAACTCTAGCCGAAGATTGGCCAACAAAACGGGTAAAAAGGAGACTAGCAATAGACCACTGTTTCCGAGTATTTTATACGAATAGAGGGCTCTTGTTTGCTGGATATTTCAAGCAAAAGCGTTACCAGGATCGCTTTCATTCTCTTCCTGTAATTATCGATTTCTCAACTGGTCTACCTGTTGGCTTGTGTTTTCCTGAAGGGAAATCAAAGACCCCAATTTAAATAGTTTATCGTTGGGTGATGCCCTGGGTTGCCGCCTGTCTCGACCTGTTGGCGGCACCGATTCTGGGTTACTGTCTGGCCGTGAGGAAACTTGCACTGCAAGCCGGCTTTTTCCAAGAAGAAACCAACAAACCGATCATAACACAAACGGTGAACGCAACCAATACGTCGACTATACAAAAGGAGACTTCATCGTGCGCTGATACGATGGCACCAAGCGTCGAGGAACAGCGCCAAGGTAAAACGATTAAATGGAACACTAGTAATATGAGTTTCATCTAATTGATATTATTTACTCGTACAATCACACCATGTTCGATATATTCGATAGGTAACGATGTTATTGAATAGCAATTCAATCGGTAATCAGGTTGCGAAACATTCGATGGGGAACGTTATTTATTTCTTATCTATCGAAAACGAAAGCATCGGATTACTGTGCGTTATGCAATGCAACAGTCATCGTAAAAAGTTGCACGGAAATGCAATATTCAAACGAAATTAAAAAATACCACCTGCGGGAATACCGGATGAAATAATGGCTTTTTTCAGCGTTTGTTTTTCTCATTGAAACGTATTACGCTTTTTCGCTCGTTCTCTTTGAATTTCTCGATTCGTGTCAGACAGATCTTTAGCTATTGCACCGAAATTCCCACGAAACCAGGCCACGGTTTCACGAATCTGTGATCGCCACTCGTAATCGGAGTGGTGACTATAAATAAAACGCGATTTAAATAGATATCCGTGTCGTGTGTTCGAAACGCGTGCGACGAACGAAAATTCAACGCGTAACAAATAACTTAAAATTGATAAACTTGTTGTTTTCATTGAACTCGCATGGAAAATGAAAACAATAAACAAAGAAAGATTCACAGCATAAAAACGGAGAGTCTGTACATAGATTTGCACTTGTCACGCTATCTGAGAGATAAATTTATCGCGAGAGGTAAGTTTACGGCTTCTAATAACGGAGGTCTGTCGTCTAAAAAGTTAGTATGCATTGATAAAAAATATTTTGTCCTTTTCCATTTATCATCAGTCCAATCGGACCAATTAACGTGCGCCTTTCAAAGAGGTGTTTCTGTCGCCTAAGGTTGTCCCCGGTTTTCTTTTAACGACGATAAATTGCGTGTCAATGAAAAACGCGACGGGTACAGTCACACAGTTCGCAAAAGCAGAAAAGATCACGAAGGTCAGCAGGAGTCAGAGATGTAAACGAGAAAATTATGGTAATGACATGGATTATCATGATCTCTGCGATTATCGTAATCTCGTCGCAGGGGAAAATCGTTTCTCAACCTCCTGCGTTGCTACTTTTTTTTATAACTATACATAATTACCTATCCGCGATTAAAAGATTCAATTATGGGAACTTCGCATTGGGTTCTTTTTGCATTCCTTTCATTTACAATTAAAGTCTCTGTATTCACAAGTGTGTCTGAATATTAGAAGATAAGGGGTTAATCAACACTGGAGAAGGAATTGCGTGGTCCACGTTTCTTCTAAACGTGGCCTCGAACACAAAAGCTGTTATTCGCGAATGAATGGAGATTATTCAGTACCAGTCACCGAAGGACGTCGAAATATCGTATGACAAATTCATCTTATTGCTATTTGTGGTAACATAAATTAGGCACAACAAAATTCTCGATGAGATAAATTAAATCTTCCAGGTATCCTC